CGCACAAGGCTTTTTGCGCTAAACCTGTTCTTCTTCCCAGAGGAGTTGCGCGAAAACACAGTATCGCTCAACTCCTGCTTAACCTGTACGTCAAAGTTCTTAATGTGATTTTTCACAGAATGAAACCTTGCGAGCCTACAAACACTTTCCTGTAAACATTTTCCTGCGAAAACAACAACAAAAACAGTATAGAAAATCGCGCAAGAAACAAAAACTTCGCCGATGAGTTTCGCGCAAGAGTTTTCTTCTGTCTTCACTCGATCGATAAATTTGCAAAAACTTCAATCGGTCACACGCTCGGCTCTGATACCAATTGTTGGTCCCTATTTCTACTCTATAATGTATAAGATCTGATTAATAGGAGTAGAAGAAGCTTTCCATTGATAGCCAGAAAGTTTACATAAAGATGAAGAACATGTAGCGTAAAACTTCCGTAGGCTCTATTCTATGCGCAGGGAATTTTTCTAAGGGAGGAAAGCTTAGTAGCCTTTTCCATTTAAGGCCTATTAAATACACAATAAATACTACCAAGAGGCTAGATAAAATACATTGATCACAACACTAAAAATATCTCTAACAGACATCATGTTGGTGCAAATCATTCTCATCCGTAACTACCCTCTCAATATCTTCCAAAGCGGCCACGGATTGTTCATTAGAGCTTTTCACAACCTCTGGAGACCTTGGGGCAACCTGGGAAAGCCCGGTCGGGTTAGGGCCTGGCCCGGTCGGGTGAATTTCCTGGGCAGATTCTGCCAGAGTGGGTTGGGCAGCGGGTTCAACAATCTCCACAATTTCCGCAGGTATGTCTTCCTTTCCCCCAATTTTTATTTGTTCATCTTCACCTTTCTCACTTGATTTCACCGTATCATCGTCCTTTTTTGCTAGCTTATTGCAAATAAACGGGTGGTGCCCATATATCTTACAATGGAAGCAAAAATTTGGGAATGTTTCATACACCACAAATTGTTTAACTACCTTTCGGGATGGTAGTCGAATAGGAAATGAAAGTGGCGGTTGCTTCGAAATATCAACTTCAATAAGCACTCTAGCAAAGTGGTGATTAGACCTATCATGTGTGACTTTGTCCGTAGCCAAAGGGACACCAACCATGGATGCAATCTCACTCAAAGCATCCTCATTCCAAAGTTTCAAGTGTAAGTTAGGGAATTTAACCCAAATAGGTACTTTGAGAAACTCTTCATCATCAAAGGAAAAATCATCCGATAGTGCTTTTAACATAAGTAGTTTCCCAAAAATGGTGTAAGGTCCCTCTTTCAACACTTTTGTCCTATCATCCTCACTTTGGAATAAATAACCCTATTATTAATTCTATTAAAAGGGTCTGCTTCCAACCACCGTCCCTCGAACCAGACTTAGAGTCAATCACCATGAAAAAAAGCAATATCTCTCACTGATCATGTTATGGGTCTAAATGAGGCTAATGGGGTTAGATTAAACCCCTCATCACCTCAACCTAATGAAAGAGTCTGGCAGCAATAAATGTAAATGACAAAAACAAACACAGTCTGATAAAAAAGAAATACGAAAATAAAAGCATAAACGTGGAATTTCAGTTGTACCCTCAGCAACCCGAGGAGCATCCCCCGATCTTCAATTTACAGGAACACCTTCAGAGCTCTTGACGGGTCAAAGTGCCTAGACCCGCCCCTTCTCCGTTTTTTGGATCATCAAAGGCATGTTGTCTCTCCCTGCTTCCTCGTCTTTTCCCTCCTCCCACGTCCTCCTGCGCTTTTGTTTGCCAATGAGTTCCTCCATAGCTGCTTCTTCATCATCCTCTGTTCGAGACTTGTTACCTCCCCCCATGGTAAGAACCCAACTCTGTCTTTCTATCACAATCCTTCTAATGCTCTCATTCACCCGACCAGTAACATTGGCATTCTGAATCACAGCTCGACCACCTGCAAAGCATTCTGGTACCAACCATTTATTACCTCCCATGGGGCGGAGTTTCCCCCCTCCGCCCTCATGAAGTCCAACCCCACACGGCTTAGCCAGCTCCGCACTTTTACATTTGTAGACCAGGGGACAATACCTATCAGCACGGCCCATAATACCGCCGGCAAAACAAAAGCTAGCTAGGTAGCTTTTCATACTTAAAGTCAACCCAATGCCCTGCTCCCTGACCCTTCTTGAGGGTAGTGCCCACCTTAAGCAGCTTCCCCACATCCATACAAACCCTAATTCTCATATAAGAATTCCATTTTTCCTCAAATTGGCTTTCATGAAAAAATATGAATTTTCCAATAAAGTTTCTAATTCTTCTAGCTACCCCAATATTCATAAAATCATATCGGACATTATGTACCCGCACCCAGAACTCCCAGCCTCATTTAGAGGAACCTGCAATGGTACGTCACCTGGCCTAAGTGCTCTAAGGACCAACAGGTTCTGCTCAAAAAGTCACGAACCACTTCCAATTACATGTTCCATATCAATAACATGATAGAATGTGAACATGTACCTGTTTTTCTCCAATCTCTTTAATGGAGATTCCTTTTACCGGGTCTTCAAATTGAAGCCATGAGATCCCTAAACACCGAGAATTTCACCATTCTGTCCGTGAGAACTGTTCCAACCACTGGGAAGATTTCTTTGTTTGCCGAGCTCCCCTCCTCGTCCATGGATTCCTCTTCAAACACAAGCTCTTCCTCTTTTTCTTCAATGACCATCTCCTTAAATTTCTTTGCAATATCCTCCATCTCCGCCCTTGACCAAATTCTCTTCCGATTTGCGGTGCCACACATAGCGAAACCAGAGCCCAAAACACTCCCTATCTCAATGCCACGCGATTTCTCCTCTGTCACCACAAAGCCGAATCAAAAGAAACGAAACCTGCAAAATTAAAGGAACAACGCTAAACAGAAGCAAGGAATTTGTCGAGTTCGGATCCTATTTGCTGAAAAAGCTGACATCGTAGATTAGGACACTCTGAGAAAAATATTTTACGTTTTTTAAGTAGTCACTAAAATATTTGTACTAGTTCTAGTCTTCTGAGGCTAACAAGCACTTAATTTGGCGACAAGAGATGACTGATGAGTTTAATGCTCTTATTACTAGCTCTACTTGGGATTTAGTATCATTTGATAACTCTAAAATAAGGTTGGCTCTTAATGGATTTATAAAACTAAATATCATTTTGATAGGTCTATTGAGTGTCATAAAGCTCGTTTGATTTCATAAGGGTGTAATCAACAAGTTGGTGTTGATTTTCTTACACTTCCCGTCTTGTTATTAAGCCCACACCAGAGCTTTTAATTCGGCCTCCTCGCTCAAATATGCCCGGATCCTGAAGCATATGCTCCAAATTAGCTCGCCAAATTGATCTCGTAGAATAGCTCCTCTTGTTTCCGACCCAGGTGCGAACGAGGCATCAACATTTAGTTTATATTTTTTTCTTTGCCCTCTTCCATTTGATAATCTGGCAACCAGATTGAAGAAACTTAAAATTAACCGAAATCAATTGTTCTTGAGGCCTCTAGAAAAACCTTCTGAAGCAATAATAAAAAGAAAAAGGGAAAGAGGTTCACCATGTTGAACACCCCTTTTAGGCTGAAAACCCCCTTAAGGGATCCCATTTTTAGAATAAATAAATAGGTAGACTTTAGGTTGGCCATAACCAGAGAAATAAATTTATCACAGAATCCAAATTTAGCCTGTGTCTCATACAAGTAGTTCCAAAACAATTTATCAAAGGGAAATTTCCTAGAATATGACTAAGACTCAATGAGTTTACAAATCTATGATCTAACTAGTTTTTGGACTTTTGTATGACCGAAAATCCAATAAAAATAGAATTTTCATTTATATTAAGGTTAAATGACGAAAATACCCCTAGTTAAAATTTGTGCATTTTGCACTAATTTCGTTCAATTAAAATTATTACACTTTATATTGCTGTTACTGCACAACATTAATGTACGAATTTACTGCACACCCAATAATAATCACTGCACTTACGTAAAAAATAATTTTCTTCTCTTATCATTCACTTTAGGTAATTATTTATAGTTTTATTTTTTATTTTTTAGATTTAGTAATTTTATTATTTTACGTCTAATTAATTGTATTGTGTTTCATTGCGGCATTACTGCTCTGTATTACTGCACCACCGGTCATATCACTGCATACGAAACTTCCTTAATACATTCATTCATTGCCATGTACAACATATATATTGTCATATTCACTGTCGTACTCAACATTGATTGTCATGTTCATTGCCACTGTGCAATGCCCATGTTTAATGCCCACAAATCCTACATTCATTGTCTATATTCACTGCCCATATCAAATGCCCGCAAACCCTAATTTTAGAAACTCCATATTTCAAAAATAGATCCAAAGCAGTAGCCTTCTTCTTGTCCAACAAATTGCTCCAAACCTATCTTTACGTAATTGCTCCAATTCCTTCAACCCTATGTTCAATGTCACAAATCTTAATTTCACAAAAAAAAAAATCACAAACCCCAAATTGATTAAGGGGGTGTTTGGAACTGATTCTGCTTCTGCTTCTTTTTTAAAAGCAGAAGCAGAATCAGAATCAGTTTTCAGAAGCTGGTACCCCCCAGCTTCTAAAAAAACTGATTCTGAGAGTAAATTAGAGCTCCAGAAGTGCTTCTGGAATTTCACCCAAACACTCCAGCTTCTGCTTCTGCTCCTTCAAGGAGCAGAATCAGTTTTGAGAATCAGATCCAAACACCCCCTAACCACAAACGATGGCCCTCCATACTCATACAAAATTGGTCAACAATCCCCAAATTGATTAACCACAAACCCCAGAAGCATGATGCCAGGGGCGGGCGGGGCAGGTAGAGCTACTGCATCTTCTTGTTATGTAGATTCATGGAGCGTCAGACCTTGAAGACGGTGGTGGTTGTAGCTGCGGCAGCCTACGGACCAGTGCTCCTCCTTGGCCTACGACTTCAGGGAATCGATGACGGGTACAAGGTTGCCTATTGAGCGTCGCATGTGGTATGCGATGGCGAAAGGAGGAGGGTGAGTGGTAGGCAGCGGTGCTATTGGACGGTGACGGCGCTACGGGACGGCGGCGGCGCTACTGGACGGAGGCGGCCGTGCGGCTGGACGGCGAGTGGGGGAATGGCAGGCGGCCGTGCGATTAGGGTTGGAGACTTGAGGCTAGTCTTTGAGAAAAGAAGGGGAAGGTTATGGTTTTATAGGTATAACCTAAAGGGTATATTAGTCCATAAAAATTATTAATTAATTACGAAATTAATTAAATTTTATATATTTAAATATTATTTTGGTGAAAACACTAGTTAGGTCATAGATTGGGAATGTGGAGGAGTTTTACTTATACTTAGGGTAATTATCTATTTATCAAATGCTTTGGCCTATCCAACTTAAACCACATTTAATCCTCTGACTTTCTTATCAACAGCATGAACCATTTCCTGGGTTATTAAAATTTGCTCTGAAATGTCCTTTTTTTCTTAACAAACCCAGCCTGTTCTTCTAAGATAACTTTACTCAACAACTTTACTAGCCTAAATGAAATCCACTGCAGCTTTACCTATCTCAGGTAATGTAGTGCATTCCTTGCCCTCAGAATCTTGAATTGATGTTATCATCTGCTTTCTTCTTCTGATCTTAATAAATGAGTGAAAGTAATGTGAGTTGAATTCCCCATCTTTCAACCCCTTGATATGTGCTTTTTGCTTCCAAAACTTTCTTTCCAATTTACATTTCCTTTCCAAATTTTTGTCTATTAGCTTCAGTAGGGAAATCCAGAAATTCCTGCTCAGCTTGGAAACATCTTGTTCAAAAAACTAATATCATCAAATATGTTTCCAAAGATTTCCTTATTACACTTCCTCAAATCTTTTTTAAGCTTCTGAAGTTTAGTTACAAAGCCAGGCATTCCTCCACCAGTAGTTACTTCATTCCAACTCTTAGATAATGTGCTTAAAAAGAATGATGTGAAATGCACATACTTTGGAATCTAAAAGTTTTAGGAGCAGTTTGATATTGTTTGTTACATTGAATCAACTAGGGAAGTGGTCTGAGGGTGCCTGATTAAGGTTAGTCAGTTTAACTTAATCATTAAAAAGACACTCGTCCAACCTCCTCCATAGTCTTCCATTGGATCTCACCCCTGTCGAGGTAAATTGGCAGCCTGAATATGGAATGTCAATGAGATTACATTGTGAAATACAGTCCTTAAATTTCAACATGCTGACAACATTAGGTATGAAAGCCCCTTTGTGCTCAGCATTATTCATAATGGTATTAAAATTTCCCCCAACTAACCAAGGATTGTGAATAGTGGTAGCAAAATGTGTAAGACTAACCCATAATTGTCTTCTCTCCACATAACTGTGTTTAGCATAAATTCCAGTAACCCAACCTCCAAAAGAACCACTGGAAACTTTAAAATGGACAAACCGTGAACCCCAAGTAACTTCAGAAATTTTTAAAGAGCTGGAATCCCAGAAAATCCAAACTTTATTCAATGAATTAAACATAACATCAGTAAACCCAAGCTCCATTTTAAAATAATCAGCTTTAGAAGAATCCACCATAAACTCTATAGCTATAAGAAAATGAATCCTCTAATATTCAACCAAATGAGATAATCTTGGCTCGGAGGCAGCCAAACCTCTCAAATTCCATATTAGACCATTCATGATAAAGGATTAGAGGAAGTTTGAGTATACCTCCTGGCAGCATTCCTAGTGACCATACCTGGGGTGTTCTGTATTGGTTGCTTTTTATTCCTCATTCTCCCCACCTTAATGAAACAATCGGTTTCATTATTATCCTCCTGATTAGCATTAGGATTAGAAGGCTGAATAAGTGTTTATAGAAGTTCTGAATCCTCTCTTACCCTCCTTGATTGCACCATAACTTGAACTTTATAAATTAGACTTGGTAGGACTTCTAACCATTCCTATTTATTTACATGTTTGCTGGAAGGCTCTGAATCTAAACCATACACTTTGACATCAAGTTCTGAGTCAAAATCAGAAATTTGTTCCATTGACTGTATGGAAAAGTCGTCTTTGACTTTATCACTGCATGTTGAAAATGTAAATGCTGGTATATGTTCCAATTCTTTCATGTGTATCTGATTTTCATCTATCTTCTTTTTTTGTGTTAGGTGGATCCTCATGAAAAACTTCTTCAATGTCAGAATCCTCCTGATCCAACTGAGGCTTGGAAGTGAACTGGTCCAACTGAGGCTTGGAAGAAGAGGGAGGCTGGAAGACCACACTTACCTTACCCTTACCCTTATCTTCTTGTTTTGCAGTGCTAATCCCCTTTGTAGAAATATCATTCCCTGCCCTTTCTGTCCCCTTTGTAATAGTTTTAGGACTATTATGATCGTGGCTGATCTTAGTAACCCATTTAGTAGTGGTTGTAGCTTTAGGAACACTAGTAATAGCATGTTCATTCACCTGCCTAGGCCCACCTTAAATCACCCTTGGGCACTTAATTGCCTCATGACCCAAGTGAAAACATGATAGACAATACAAAGGCCTATTTTCATATGTAACAGGCTTGGAAAATCTTGTCTTTCCTGCCTGAATCCAAACTTCATTTGGCATTTCCTTAGTTAGACCTAGTTCTACACATACTTGGGCTATTGATGGTCTAGCCAGAGTAGTTGTAGCTATATCTAATTTTAGGGGTTTACCGATCAAATTGGCAATTAAAAACATCACCCTTTTATCCTGTAGATTAATTGATAATCCCTCAAATGCCAACCAAATCAAAACCACAATGGATTCCACATTATGTCTAAAATCAGGAGACCACTTAATTACCCTCATCACGTTGTCATGTATGTACCATGTGTTGGGGTATATCACGTAGGGGGTGATAATCGAGTACTTGGATTGCTTCAGGATCGTGTAAGTTCACTTTCCGAATTGATATTTCTCCCATGTGCCTGGGTTACAAGAAATTCAATCTAGGATAATCCTTAAGGACACTCTAGAACTTAGGCACAAGAACTAGAGCCAAACTAGTCGAGTATATGGATTGTTATCTTTAATTTGAGTGCCAAAGTGATGAAGATATGTTGGATATTATTCCTCTACCTCCTCTGTACGAAATATGGTGGTATATATTCATATTCATCGTCCTAGGCAGTTGTAACACGATTAAGAATAACCGCAGCAGTTTTTGGGAAACTGCTGGAAACTGCCTAACCGTTCTAGAACTCGGTCTAGAACCACAGAGCTGGTCTACTGAAAGTTATACCTCGAGTTCTACCTCGAGTTCCACTAACGTAGACACTTTGGAACTAAACTAGTTCTTATATACAAGTGTGCACTTCACACCTACTAACTTGTATTAGATCATAGTTCTAATTCCCATTGGCACTCATGTCATTTCCAATTACACAAAACGGCCGGTGACACTAAAATCACCAACAATCCTCCCCCATTTTAGTGTAACCCATGAAATGACATAACAAAGCTTACAAACCAAAACTTGCACATAAATGGAAATGTCGATACGATTGAATTTTCATCTTAGTATTTTACACATTCAAAATATTCGAGAATCGGGGTGTCCTACGAATTGAACCCTGCAACCCATTTGAATACCTCAAGATAAAATACATACAAGTTTCTATACTCAACTAGAATACAAACTTGACACAATTATAAAGCCGTGTGTCCTAATCCCATTCATGATCGTATAAAAGCCAAGTCCCAAGCTTTTTGAAGTGCGGCTACACTTCACGATCATATAGGTAATTCCTTTACTCGTGTACCTGCTAACACTTTATCAAAGGAATTATTAAGAAATAAATTCAGCCTCCCTACTACAGGTCCGAACACACACCTTGGGATGATTTTCATTGTGTGTTCCAATCCATTAAGTGTGAGCTTTCCGCATTGAATTCAGCCTCTAACGTTGATTAGAGGGAAATTGGGTGTCTCACCATTAAGGATTAAATGGACTTTAAACTCATCCCTATAACAGACTTGTGCACTAAGTCCCGGGCCAAACTTTTGGTCAAGTGGTCCGCCAAGTTATGTTGCGATCTTACAAATTCCACCGAAATTACACCATTCATGATTAGTTCTCTAATCATACTATGTCTAACACCCAAGTGTCTAGACTTGCCATTATAAACATGACTATATGCCTTAGCCAAAGTGGCAGCACTATCACAATGGATAGAAATAGGTGCAATCGGCTTTCTCCACAATGGAATCTCAAAAATTAAATTTCTTAACCACTCCGCCTCTTTACCGGCGGTAGCCAACGCAACAAACTCAGATTCCATCGTTGAACTTGTGATACAAGTTTTCTTCTTGGATGCCCAAGAAATGGCACCTCCCCCAAGCAAGAATACCCAACCACTTGTAGAAGCCTTAGCAGCCGCTATAGAGGAAGGTAGCAGTTCTGTCTTTCCTCCTCGTGGAAGCTAGCAATTTAATTCAGAACTTTTACCTCTTGAAAACAACTCTGGTTTGATTAATTGTTTCTGTTCTAAACTTCCAGCTTACTTTATTTCTTTCATACGTGCGTAAGACGATGAAGTTGAACTCTTTAATCATTGTTGATTTCCTCTCAATCATCTTTCCTATGAATAACTAAATTTTCTTTAAGTCCAGGAGTATGATGAAGTTGCTATAATTTAGTATGAATTGTGATTTTAGTTATGTCAATTGGTTGAGTTTTATCCATTGTTCTTATTCGCTTAATTTGTTGTGTTAATTTCTGGCCAATTTTAATATGACTAATTAAGTTGTTTGAGTGGATTAATAGAGTACATGTCATGCCTATTAATTCGAGCTCTTTTGGATAAAAGAATAGATAATTTGGCTGTCTTGTTAGATTATCTATTTGGTTCTTAAATCGGGTTTCCGTAGTTCTTTTGTGATAAATGGATTTTAACTATTGAATTAATAATTTCCTGTTAATTAATAGTTAAAGTACGTGACTTATTCTGGACGTCATACGGAATAGTCATATTTCTGTATAGAACGAACCCTCAATTCTAATTGACTAACTAAATCACAAATACTAAAAATTAGTGACTGGTTCATAATCCTGGACTGTATTTTCTTTGCTAAATTCTCAATCAATTTTCCGTCAGTTCTTTGATCACTTTATTTTTATTCAATTAAATTCCTTGCATCCATTTTAATTCAAGCTTTGCATTTCACTTTCAAACAAAACATTCTCAAAACTCTCTTTTAGTGAAATTAGTTTTATTTTTATTTTTTATTTTTATTAATAGTTTTCCAATTACTTAGTTGCATTTTCCCCGTGGATTCGACCCTTACTTGAGCACTGTACTACCGCGACTCGTGCACTTGCGAGGACTTATAAATTGGATATCCAACTTGCATCCGAATATCCCTCTAAAACCGAAGGATACTCAAAGTAACACAAACCATAATCCATGGTTCCCTTCAAATACTTGAATACTCTCTTCATTGCTTGCCAATGTTGAGTACTAGGATTGCTAGTAAACCGGCTCAACCTACCCACGGCATAAACAATATCCGGCCGAGTGCTTGTCATGGCATACATTAAACTACCAATAGCTTGAGAGTACTCAAGTTGTGATATTGTCTTTCCATTATTAGGCATCAACCTCACACTAGGATCCATGGGAGAACCATGGGTGAACAATCACTATAATTAAACCTTTTGAGAATATTCTCAACATAGTGAGCTTGAGTCAAAGCAATCCCTTTGTTTACCCGTTCAATCCTTATACCAAGGATCACATCCGCCTCCCCCATGTCCTTCATGGAAAACCTTGATGATAACAACCTTTTGGTTTCATCAATCTGATTTTGGTCAGTTCCAAAAATCAGCATGTCATCAACATAGAGACATATGATCACACCCGCCCCTAAGGCATCAAATCAGCTATAGACACACTTGTCCGATTGGTTTAAACTAAAACCATTGGACAAAATAACTTCATCAAACTTTTGATGCCATTGTTTGGGTGCTTGTTTCAGCCCATACAATGATTTAAGAAGTTTACAAACTTTATGCTCATTTCCCGGCATAACAAAACCTTCCGGTTGTTTCATGTAAACTTCCTCATCAAGATCACCATTTAAAAATGCCGTCTTGACATCCATCTGATGTATAATCAGATTGTGTATAGCCGCCAAAGCAATTAACAACCTAATGGTTGTAATTCGAGCAACCGGCGCATACGTATCAAAATAGTCAATTCCGGGTTTTTGTCTAAAACCTTGAATGACCAACCGAGCCTTGAACCTGTCAACAGTTCCATCCACTTTCATCTTCTTTTTGAAGATCCATTTGCAACCTAAGGGTTTAGAACCCGGTGGCAAATCCGACAACACCCAAGTGTTGTTCTCCATAATTGATGACATTTCATCATCAATTGCCTCCTTCCAAAAGGCAACATCTCGGGATTCCATTGCCTCTTTAAAGGTCTTTGGATCATCCTCAACTTGGTAACAATATGAATATTGTACCCCCGTTTCATTTCTTGAACCTTCCACTAAATACAAGTGAAAATCGGGACCAAAGTCTTTCATGATGCGGCCTCGTTTGCTTTTCCTTATTTGTGGTGCTTCGGGATTCAAAGCACCATCCAAACAATCTGGAACTTGCACCTCACTAGTTCTTGGAACTAGTTCCTTTGGTCTTTGAATTGATGAAAATCTCATCTCAGCAAAGATCACATCCCGAGACTCAATCACGGTGTTAACCGCTATCGCATCATTAGGTTCTATTACATAAAACCTATAAGCCTTGGAATGTTCAGCATACCCTATGAATATGCAATCAATTCCCCTTTCCCCCAAAGTTTTCCTTTTGGGCTCAGGCAATTTTACAACCGCCCGACAACCCCAAACCCGAAAATATTTCAAATTCGGCGCTTTCTTGTACCAAAGCTCATATGGGGTTGTCTTGTTCCTTTTATTTGTAACCCTATTTAGAACATAGCAGGCCGTGAGCATGGCCTCTCCCCAAAACCCTTCACTCAAACCCGAGTAGGAAAACATGGAATTAACCATTTCCTTTAACACTCAATTTTTCCGTTCGGCCACACCATTTTGTTGTGGTGTATACGGAGCCGTGGTCTCATGAATGATTCCAACAGATTGAAAATAATGGGGATCCATATATTCTCCTCCCCAATCAGTCCTAAGACATTTAATTGGATTACCCAATTGCAATTCAACCTCGGTTTTATACACTTTAAATTTCTCTAACGCTTCATCCTTGGTGTGTAATAAATACACATAACAAAACCGAGTTGAATCATCAATAAAAGTAACAACATACTTTTTATTGCCAAGAGAAGGAGTTGAGTGAAAGTCACATAGATCACTATGTACAAGATCCAAAATAGCCGAATTCCTTTCAATATTAGGAAACGGTTATTTTGTGATCTTAGTAAGCATGCAAGTCCTACACTTGTCATCATTATTAATATCAAAATCCGGAATTAAACCATCTTTAGACATTTCATGCATTTTTCTAAAATTAACGTGAGCTAATCTAGCATGCCAAATCATACAATCATTCATGGAAGATGCCACAAAAACAGAATTATCACTAGAAATTAATTTATTCACAACATTCAAACGAAACATGCGATTTGATAAATATCCAAAACCAACAAACACACCACCCTTGGACAGAATATATTTATCGGATTCAATCACTTGTTTGAACCCTAAATTATTCAACATACTTCCCGA